GGGTTGTTCAAGGAGCTGTGGTGGCAGAGTCAGTAAGGCATTTGGCTGCCAACCAGAAGGTTAGTGGTTCAAACCTGCCAGCTGTTCTGTGGGAAGAAGATGAAGCAATCTACTTCTGTAAAGATTTACAGCCTTGGGTACCCAGTGGGGGTTGCTATGAGTCAGAATCAACTCAGTGGCAGTCAGTGGGCTTGGTGTGGTTTGTTGTTGTTGTTGTTTGTTTTTCTGGTTGCTGTTGGGCGCTGTTGAGTGGATTCCAACACACAGTAACTCTGTTGAACAGAACAGAACTGCCCATGAGATTTTTCTGGGCCGCAATCTTTACAGGATCAGAAAGTCCATCTGAAAGGAAGTGACCTGTGAGCAACCAGGTACCTGAGGATGGGAGTCTCCCCTTTGCACGCCCCCATCTGGCCCCGTGAAAGCCAAGGGGACTGCATTCCCTCAGAGGTAATGGGCCTCCGTGCAGTGAGTTAGGCTGGGATGCTGCCCTCAGGAACCTCCAAAGGGAGAGCAGACAGGGACCCAAACGTCCACGGGATAGATGATGTATGAGATAAACATTCCAAAGGAAGTCCGCAGAAAATGTGTGGGAACACAGAGAAGGGAGTGACGGACCTCAACCAAACAGGTTTAAGGAAAGTGCCAAAGGAGAGAGGCGTAGGCCTTGGGGGCCAAGAAGGATTTAGACTGGGCTGGGCATGAGAGGCAGAAAAAATAGTGGGAGTGAAGGCTTGGAGGTGGAGTAACGTGGGGCCTTCAGCGATTAGTGAGTTGTGCAGCTGGAGCAGGGGGCTGTGTTTTGGAAGGAGGCTGGCGGGTCCAACCCACCAGCCACTCCTCGGAAGGAAGGCTGGGCAATCTACTTCCGTAGCGATACCGCCTCGGAAACCCAAGGAGGGGTCGCTATCAGTCGGCTCCGACTCGAGGGCAGTGAGTTTGGTTTGGTTTTGGTTTAGCTCTGAGTTAAAGCTGGAAAAGCAGGTTGGGATTTGGGTTGGGGCATCCACCTTAGTGATGGCATTTGTCCTTTCCCTCCCTGGGAAGCCCCGGGCCTGCTTGGCTCTGCCTGGCTGTTCAATCGGCAGGTCCCGA